TTAAAACCATGGTGAGGAATTTGCGGGTTTTTAAAAAAATTGAGATAGAATTGACATACAATGAATTTTATTCTAAATGCCACAGGACGTTAAGGGAAGATGGTGAGCAGGGCTGGGGTCTGATTCAGCTGTTCACAGGGTCCTTCTAGTTGCAAGAGGGAAACAGACCTGTAGAAGGTGGGGTGAGTTCAGCGAGCCCAGTGAGGAGGCTGCTGCGATGGTCCTGACGAAGGTAGACAGAGGACAAAGAGTGAAGGAGGGGCGTGCCGTGGAGGGGCAGTGGGAGGATTTGGGAAAGTGGAGCCTACAAGACTTTGTGTCAGGAATTTGATGGGGGTGGGATGCGGGGGTGAGAAAGAGCAAAGAATCAAGACTTAAGATGGGGGGTGAGTAACAGCTCAGTGGTAGAGAGTATGCTTAACATGCACAAGGTCCTTGGTTCGATCTCCAGTACCTCCATTAAACAAACAAACAAACAAACAGACTCAAGACAGCTGCTAGGAAGGAGATGAGGCCTGAGCAGTAGCCCACTTTCCCAGGGGATGCCAAGACCTGGCCAAAGACCCAGGAGTGTTGCTGTTTCCAAAGCTGGGCTAGGCTGGAGCAGGGCAACCTCTTCCTGCCTGACCTGGAGAACAAGCCCAGGACTCTTGTGCTGGACCTGCTGGGCAGGGAAAGGCCACTTGAACAATGGGCCATCTGCCCCTCCCTGCCTCCTCCAGGTCAACACTGAGAAACCTCCCAGACCAAGGGCTCAAAGATGAAGGGGATGTCCCCAGCCAATGAGGTTTAAATTAAAGGCTCCCTTTAATTGCCAGCTTTGAGGCCACTTCCTGGCAGCCTGCCATGGACACTGCGGTTGTAATAGTTACTGTCTCTGGAGGGTCAAGGGGCAGCAGGCAGGGGCTCAGAAGGGGCAGAGATCCCCGAGTGAAGGGGAATTATGGCCAGTGTACCCGGCCTTAGGTTCACCATGTCTGCACTGCCACTTTCTGGAACCTTCACAGAGACTTCAGCCAGAAGTTATTACATGCTGTATCCTATTATTAACGCTACTTAGATGGAACAAAGGAGCGAGGGCTGTGTCCTCTCGGGGTGGGAACACGAACAGATACTAGGATGTCTAGAGGTGACTACAGGAAGCAGCTGAAATGGCAGCCTGGGGCCCAAGCCATCATGACAGGCAAGTTTATAATCCAAACTCTTCAGTGCATTACCGTAGTCTGCAGTGGGTATCTCCCTATCTGTAAAACTAAGGCACGGAGAGGCTGACTACCGCACCCAAAGGCTGCCAGGCTGGGGTTTGAACTCACTCTTTCTGCAAAGCCAGGCCTCTTTGCTGCTCAAAGGATGACCCTCCTGGAGCAAAAGCAGGTTGGCAAAGCAGGACAGATGTGGATCCCAAGAGAAAAAGTTCATTTCCTCTTCCCCTACAGAGTGGCCGTGGCCTGTTGTACAGGTTGTCCTACACGAGGGCATCTGCCAAGTGGGTAAGTAGCAGCTTTCCAGTCTCCCCTCCGTCTGCCCCCCTTAGAGCTGGCTCCCAAGTCCTGAGCGGCAGAAGCACCCTCTGTCCCCAGGGTTTCAGCATGCCCTAGTTTCTGGCTCCTGCTCAGGTCTGGATCCCAGGGCAAAGGGTATCCTGTGCTGCCCTGGCTTCCTGCATCAGCGCCCTCAGAAGAATGATGGGTGTGAGTGCCGGCCAAGAGGGAGGTCCAGGAAGGCTGGCAGCTCAGGCATTGCCCTCTCTTCAGGCAAAGTCCACGCACTCTTGAGAATGAGGCACTCCCTCAGTGGCGCCGCTGTCTGCACAAAGGGACGGGCGTCTGTTGTGGCATTTGATTTCCTCCATTTTCCCCAAAAGGCCATCACTGTTGCCCCCGCCCCCTCTTTCTGCAGACCACAGGCTCAGAGCCCTAGGTCACTACCAGAATGGCTGGAATACCTTGTAAAATACAAATAACCAACCAAGCTAAGGATCAGGTGACTCGTGCTAGGCCTCCTGGCCAGTGGAGGCTGGGACTGCAGGAATCAGGGACAACAGCCTGACTGAAAATCCCAACCTTCTGATAAAGTCTTTCCGAACAAAAGAGTGCTGAGGACTAATTTGCAATGCTGGGGACAAACTCTTCTGATTCTGAAATTAACAATCACTCCAGTTTTCTAAGCACCAAGAACAGGCTGGGTCCTGATCTGAGACCTTCACTGGCAAGAGCTCACAGAATCCTCACGATTCTGACAACGGTGCATCAGTCTCCCCATTTCACAGATGAGGAAACTGAGGAACAGAAGTCAAGGACACACAGTCGATTGAGCAAGCAGCCAGAATCCTCTTCCACTCGCCCCTCCAGCCACTGCCCCGGGGCCACTAGCAGCTGCATCTGTGAAGCCCAAGGGCAAACAAAGGTGGTGCCCCTCCCTCACCAGGAACCCAGTGACCGCACCTGTTTACCTACATTTTCAGGAGGACAGAAGAGCCCAGGCCAGCCCCAGGCGCAGGGCTGGGCTCCTACACCCCACGCACACCCTCCTCCGTGCTGACTCACCCACAGCCCATTCACAGCCTCGGTGCAGACTCAGAGCTGCGTGCCCCCCACTTGTGATCTGACAGGTCAGGAAGGTGGTGGTGGAGATCAGCTGCTGAGGCGGGGCAGAGAGGGTCAAAGGAGACAGAAGCCCCACTTCTGGCAGGGTAGGAAGGGGCCTGCCAGAACTGAGATGGCCCCAGCACAGGGTGATCCGAAGCCTACTCCTAGGCCCCCACTGGTGGGCGAGGAGCAGAGGCAGGAAGCCACCGAGGAGCCAACAGGGCTAAGAAGTCAACAAATCTTTATTAAATGCCTGCAAAGTTACTGGGAGGAGGCCATGATGCTGGACACACCTGTTGAGAAGAGAAGGGAGCACCAATGTCAATGTTGGAAGAATGGGAAATGAACCTACAGCCACCAACCACAGTGCCCACAGTTCTTTGGGGACAGGTGATCATAAACCCCTGCCGGCCTCAGTCACCAACACAAAGGCAGTAGTTAAAAGCCTGGACTCTGGAACAAGGAGGCCTAGGTTCAAATTGGAGCTCTGCCCAGTACCAGGTGGGTGACCTCCAGCCAATTACTAAGCATCAGTTTCCCCATCTGTAAGCACCGTCCACCCTATAGGATTGTGGCATTAAATGATGTGCTTAGAACAAGGCCTGGTACTACCTAAGTGCTGTCTGCTGTCTTCATCATCACATCATTTACTGTCATGTAAAGTATGTTACTATCATAACAACACTTACTATGTACTATTTGCAACAGACCCTGAGTGCTGAGCTTGCATCTCCTCGCTGCAGAACATTTGCTCCGCCGAGTTCCCCAACCCAGTGGGCATGTCTCATGTTGAGTGAGGGTCCACAGCCCCCAGGTGTGGAGAGACTGCCCACTCAATCTGGTTCCTCATTAAGTACCCACTTAGCTGGCCTGTACTAAGAGGCCACTATACTAATCGGTATCTTTAAAATACCAGAATCCCACTCAAGAGGGCGGGGAGGAGACCTAGGGCCTAAGGAAGTGCCGGTCCCTGAGCCCCGGTTCTCTCTCCAAGACATCGTGCCGTTGAAGGTGAGAGCGCGCTGCTAACTGAGCAGCTAGGTCGCTCCCGCTGAGCCACCAGTGGGGTCTGTGAGGGGTAAGTGTGTGTATGATGGTGACAACGCTCAGTGAGCTGTGCGACTGGCTCTGTGCTAAGAGGCACATAAGGACTGTCTGACTTCACATTCACACCTCCAGGAGGTGGGTGTTGCCAGGTTATTCAGTAACTTACAATAATGGCACCTACCTTATAGGGTTGACCCGAGGACCAATGACTTAAAAAAATGTAAAGAACTACACAGTGTTTGTCATAATTACTGGTGCTGTTATTTATCCCATTTTAGATAGGAAAACTGAGGCACAGAGATGTAAAATCACTCGCCCAAAGTTACATGGCTATGAAGCAGAGAACCAAGATCTGAGAATCATTATCTCAGAATTGAGGAGAACTTCCCAGGTCATTTAGTACCACTACCCATTAGATGACTAAACCCCTCTGGCCCAACCAAAGCCTATACTTCTGGTTGGTGTTCTGCTGTGTTTTAGCAGACGCCAGGGCTGAGGCCCCAGAAGCCCGAACAGAACAGAGCCCCTGGTATCAGGGAGTGTGCGGCGATACACTGCAAGGCTCCTCCCAGGCCCTTGAAGTCTTACTGTGTGCTTCAGGGCAGGACATAGTGCCTGGGACTCTAGGGAAGGACACCCAGCATCCTCTATCACTCCTCCCTGGGCAGGTGACCCCATGACAGAAGAGGTCGGGGAGCCGGGCAATCGCAAATTCCCCAGCCCTAAACCAGGACATATCCATCCAGGTCCTTTGGGGCCCCAGTCCAGGCCTGTCCAAGGGAACCCCCTCAGCCCCACAGTCTGAGGCCTTGGGCCACCACTCACTGTCAAAGTCGATCTTCTCCACGATGTTCTTGGGCTTAATGCTCTCTTCCTGGCTACAAATGAAGATCTGGCCTGACTCGTCAGCGCTCCAGCCATACTTGCTCATCCACACCTTCAGCTGGCTGTCTGCAGGGGACACAGCAATGAAGGGGTTTTGGGCACTCTGATCCCATGGTACCAGGGGGCCTGGGAGCCAATGGCCAGCGTGCCCTCCTTGCCCCAGTTCTCCAGAAACCACCAGTATCTTCTGGCCTCGTCTCCTGCTGCCAGCCTGGCGCTTCTATAGTTCATTCTCCAAACGGCCGCCAGAGGGAGCCCTTTAGCTTCCTCATCCTTCCCATTACAGAGCTTTTCTCAGCCTCCTTTCATTTTCTATTTACCCCTCCTCTCTTCCAGTGCGCAGCCTGGCTCCTAGTGACAACTTATCTGCTTTCCCCACCACAACCCAAATGAAATGGCTCCAAAATTATGATGTCATCACCACCACCAACAGTAAATATGCCTATGGCATCAGATTTGAGAATTTCTTCGCAGTTCTTATTTGCTCTTAGAAAATATGCCAGCAAGGATGTGTGGCCAGAGAGATGTTCTATTAGTTGAAATAATTCTTTTCTGCGTGACACTTATCAATTTGATAGATTCATCTGCTTTTCTTTACACTCCATTCTAAGGGTTGTCTCATCCCCTTCTGATTTAATTTCACTTTTAAATACATAAAACATCTACTGGATGTAAAGCACTTAGTATAGTGCCTGAGACAAACTGTCCAATAAAACTTAGCTTCTACTGAAAATAAACAAATAACACCCCACAAAAAAATCCACCTTAAAAGGCAAAATTATCCAAGGGGGGAGAGTATAGCTCAAATGGTAGAGCGCAAGCTTAGCATGCACGAGGTCCTGGGTTCGTTCAATCGCCAGTACCTCCTCCAAAAATAAGTAAGTAAACCTAATTACCCCCCTCATAAAACAGACAAGCAAAAAAGGCAGAACTATCCAAGAAGGCACTCAGATCTCACCCCCAACTCACCACTCTCCTCTCTGCCCTCACCCTCATTCCCCAAGGAGTAACCACTTTCCTTAGTTTTTAAATTTTCCTTCCTGGTTCTTTATGCAAAATGAGCAAATACACTCTTTTTTTCTTTTTGGAGGGCTCTTTTAAGCTGCCCACCTCACTCCACTGAGGTAACTGTTCAATGCTGCCATCTCCTTGCCACCACGTGCCCCCAGCCCTCCCTCTCCAGGGGTTGTCATACAAGAATTCCCGCTGGACACATACATCCTCATTCATTATCTGTGGTGCTACTGCCACGAGAACGAATCTGAGCCATTCTGTGTTGTTCAAGGCTGCGTTCCCAAGGCCACAAACAGTGTCTGGCACAGAGCAGGCATTCATGCAGAATAAAAGAATAAGTGCCACAGGATCTCCACCAAGGAAGGGAATGTTTTATAATGATCTGATGAGGCAGGGGTGGGCCATCTGAGGAGCTGGCTGAGACCCGCTGCCCAATCATCTCTGACCTGCCAGACTGGCACTAGGGACCCAGAGATGGCCTTACCTGTCAGATCCCCAAGCATCTCGGCCAGCAGCCAGCGATCGATGTGCTGGTAAGTGATGCCCACCACGTGGCAGATAACTGTGGAAATAAGGGACAGAGATGGTGAAGGGCCACCCCCAGGACCCCACTGCCACTACCCCACCCTGGGGAGCAGGGGCTCAGGGAAGGACTTACATTTCCGGACAGAGTCTTCAAAGCCAGTTATACCCTCCAAGAGGTCCATGTTTTCATCCAGGGCTTGCTGTGAGAGGAACAATGTTAACAGCGGTAACGTCAAGAACATGTGTAACGCTAACAATGACAGAAGGGAACACCTGAGTTCGCGTCCCACATATCACGGTTCTTCTGTGTGCCGCCTTATGATGTAACAGTGACTCTCTTAATGCCCATTTTAGGGATGAGGAAACCAAGGCTCAGAACAGCTAAGTGTTTTGCCCCAAATCCCAGAGCTGGAGTTTGAACCTGGCAGGCAGAAAACACAGTCCCGAGAGAGGAGCCAGATACAGATTAGCGACCTGCACTCAACCACCTCCTCTTGGCTCCCGTCTCACTCAGAGAAAAGGCCAGCGGTGCTCCTGTGGCTCATGAGTCCTCACAGGATCTGTCCATCACCTCCTCCCACTCAGCCCCTCATTCCAGCCGCAGGGGCTCCTCGCTGCCTCTCCGATATGCCAGGCACCACCCACCTCCAGGCCTTCATGCTGGCTGTTTCTGGGGCTGGAACTCTCCTCCCCCATAGCTAGCGCCCTCACCTCCTTAAGGCTTCTGCTTAAATGTCCCCTTCCCAGTAGGGGCTCCCCCCAACATTAGTGAGGTACACAAGGAACCTGCAAGGACAACGGGAGGAAAGCCAGGAGAGCAGCTGTCCTGGAAGCCAGGGGATGGAAGTGTTGAGGGAGCAGAAGCGGCTGGCTGGACAGGGAAGACGGGGCAAGAACTTCCTACCAGACTATTAACGGGACATCACTGTGGATCTGGACAAGAGCGGTTCCGTGCGTGGGCTGGGGGTTCAGGGGCAGGGGGCTGGCCAAAAAAGCCTCAGTGAACTAGATGGAGTGGGTGCAAGTGAGCCGGGGGGAGACAGGGAGGCTGAGCACAGGTAACCTGTCCAAGAGCAGGCTGCCCAGTGGTTCTGACTCGCCTGAGACCGAGGGTTTCCTAGGATATGAGAATTGCAGTTTTATTTTATTTTTATGTTTTTTTTTGAGGGGGTGTAAGTAATTAGATTTACTTATTTATTTTAATGGCGGTACTGGAGATTGAACCCAGGACCTTGTGCATGCTAAGCCAGTGCTCTACCACTGAGCTGTACCCTCCCCCCTGAGACTTGCAGCTTTAAAACTAAGAAAGCCCCAGGCAAACTGGGACAGTGGGTCCCCCAGCCAGGAATACAGCTGGAAAGGGGAGGCAGAGCTGGCGGGGAGTGTGGAGATCAAGGGAGAGTTCTTTCAGGCTAGGACTAACTGCAGGGTGGGCGTGTTCTGTGGTGACAGGAACAACCCAGGAAGGCCAAGTTTGCTGATACAGGAGAATGGGGAGAACCGCTGGTGTGATGCCACTGAGTGGGTGAGAGGGAAGGGCATCGATGCTCCGGAGAATGGATGCCTGCGACAGGAGAAGGGACAACTCACCCACTGAAACAGAAAAGTATTTGGTCAGCTGTCGGCAGACAGCGGGCCAGGGGCAGAAGCTTTGGCTGCTCCTAATTTGCCATGAAATGAGAAGCCAGATCAAAAGTTGAAGGGGAGGAAAGGGAACAGCTTAGCAGTAGTGTGTGTGCCTAGCATGCACAAGATCCTGGGTTCAATCCCCAGCACCTCTGTTAGAAGTAAATACATACATCAGTTGAGGTCGGGAGAAAGTGGTGGGGGCGGTGGTGAGAAGAGCCGTCTAGCACAGCAGGGAGGGAGGAACACCCTAGACCAAGAGGGGCTCAGGACCGGACCTGGGTCATTGTCACCTGCGCCTGATGGGCTCTTCTCCAGCCTCGTGCATCCTGTTGGACACAGGTGCGGAGAGGAGGAGCCCACGGATTGGGCTGAAGGAGGATGTAGGACAGAGGATGGGGGCTGCCGCTCAGGCCCAAGAATGCGGGGATGGGACCCAAGGGGCCGAGCTGGGAAGCTAGGAGGAAGTGGTCAGAGGAGGGAAATGCCTGACATTCATGGGCAGAGGAAGCAATTACTGGTGAAGACAAGTATAGGCCAGTGGCTCCCAGCCTTCAGGGCGCATCAGAAGCCCCAGGGATAATTGTTTAAAATCCCAAAGCCTGGAGCACACCCAGGCCCATCACATTAGACTCTGGCAGGATGCAATTACCAGTATTTGTTTTTTTAACTCCTCAAGGGTCCAATGTGCTGAGAACTGGTCTAGGGTGTGACTGGGGGTGAGGGGCTGAGGGCACAGGGAGAACAAGAGATCCAGAAACTGAGGTCAGGAGGGTGGAAGGATCACTGATCTGCCTCTTCGGGCATCTAAAAATGAAGACAGGAGTAGTAAAGAGTGGCAATGAGCTAGTCTTCACAAAACGAGGAGCAGTCATCTGGGGGTGGGGAGGCTGATACCAACAAAGAAGGGCAGGAAGTGATAACAGGTGAGCTTCAGGGCTGGGGACTTGGGGAGAGGAGCGGGGGAGATAAGTCTGGGAGTGGCAGTGAGAAGCTAGGAGGCCACCTGGCCTTCCTTGCACTTGGGAAGCCACTGCAGAAGTGGAAGGCCAGGCTCAGTTAGTGCAAGAGACAGGGAAAGAGAATTTAGAGGATGGAGAGCTTTTGCTGGAAGGACCGGTATGTGTGTGTGCGTGTGTGTGTGTGCGCGTGTGCGTGCCTGCGCACTGGGGACGACCTGGGAGTCCTGGCCCCAGGTGAGGATGACCGTCCCATGAGATCACACAAGCAAAGCCCTAAGCAGAGTCCCTGCCACCACGCAGGCTGCCAGTGTATGTGCATGGTCATGACTTTCAGCAGTCTGCCCCGCACAACCCAGTTACCACTCTGCCCCAGGAACCCAAGGGACGTTACCCAGAAGGCCTGGAAGTGGCAGGTCTCCAGCAGGTCTCCGAGGTACAAAATCTGCCTGATCGGCCGTTCTTCTTGCTGGGAGGAGGTGTTAAGGGAAAGAGGCCTGGGAGCCCGAGGAGGCTGCTGCTGCATCCTAGACCGTCCGCGCCCACCTTGTTCACTGCAGCATGGTTTGGAATCGCAAAAGGTAAGAGACAACCTAGTGATCCAGTGATGGGGACCATTAATTCAACAGTGGGCCATCCACATGCTGAGATGGAGTCAACCCTTACAGAATTGACCTGGAGAAAGGGATGAGACCCACCACCATGTGAAAGCAGCAAGACGCAGAATGACTTGCGCAACAGCCCCCATTTGCGTGGGGAGAAATCTGTGCATCTAAACACACGCCTGCACCTGTGCAGCTACAGGGCCTCTGTGGGAAGCACCCAAGAATGCAAACAACTGTCTGCGGGAGGGGAGCAGGTGCTGTGGGATGAGGAGGAGGAAGCCTTGGCTTTTCCACTGCACACTTTGTTGTACTTTTAACAGTGGACCACATGCCTATTTTTAAGCCACCAGAACACACCCCAGGAGAAGAGGGACAATCTCTCTGGAGGTAGGCACTCCCATGGACAAGCCTGGCAGAGGAGGCTCAATGAGGAAGCCATTTCTCAGCCCAGCTGCCAGTGAGCAGGCCAGTTCACTGACTTTCCCTCAGCATTTCTTCACTGAAGGCCAGCACCGGGCCGGATAGATGCTGCGCCAGGCCCTGAGGACACATATGCTGAAGGTCAGCGGACAAGCTGGCTCCTCCCAGCTCCTGCTCCAGCCCCCAGCCCCTCCTGTCTCCTGCCTTTACCCAGCTGGGAACCCTCGTGGGACTCTTTCTAGAGCATGAGTCCACCCATATACCTCTGCAGCTTGAAAGCTCCCACGGCTCCCCAGTGCCCTTTTTGAAACTGACCGAATTCCACTTTGACATCTGGGGCACAGCTGTATGGAACTTCCTCTACTACTTCTAAAACATAGCACCAAGCAATTCTTTTCCTCCTTCTTTCCCTGCATACTGTTCCTCTGCCTGGATCACCCTTCCCTACCACATCACCCAACTCCTCATCTCTCAGACCTTCCCTCCTCCAGGACGCCTTCCACACATCCAGGCAGGGTCAGGTGCCTCCTCTGGCTCCTGTAACCCTCAGCCCTGACTATTCCAGACTGTCACTGACAGGGGACGGGTCCCCACAACTGAACGGTGAGCTCGGTGAGGACAGGGCTGGGCCTGCCTCGGCCTCCACAGCGCCCCAGCCCCAGCCAGCGCTGGACTAAGCCCAGAGCAGGCACTCGGTGTCCGAGGCTGAACTCCGACCACTTTCCCGTGAGTTCACCTGCCCTCCCCCACACCCGGCCCGGGAGCGGGAAGGATACGTGTGCCTGGTCGATCATACACTTGCACAGCGTGAAGTCGGTGTGGGGTAGGTTGGTGAGGGCCTTCAGCAGGATCTGGGCGGTGACCGTGGTCTGAAAGAAGGCTGGGTTGAACTGGTACCTGAGAAGGGGAAGGAGGGACACAGTAGCAGAGGCATGCCCAGGTCCCTGGGCCTCACCAGGGCAGGCTGCCCACTGCTTCAGCCCAGAGTCTGGGAGCCAGACATGCCTGGGCTCCAATCCTATTCACGCCAATCTCTGCCTGTGTGACCTTAACCTCCCTGACCCTACTACTCTCCTGCTGTGTAGATGGCGACATTTAATCTTCACAGCCACTCAGTAAGGCAGACAATGTCCAGTGATTCACAAACAAATGAACACCTAAATAGCAGTCCGGAACAGCGGTCAAGGCTCTGGAGACAGACTGCCTGGGGTTAAACTTCACTGCTGAGTGACCTTGGACTACTTATCTTAAACTCTCTGTGCATCAGTTTCCTCTCTTGCACGAGGGGACAGTAACAACCAGATCTACCTCACAAGGGCCATACAGCACCTAAGAGAGTTCATACACCAAAGCTTACAGCACAGAAGCTACCAAGTGGGGAGCACTCTCTCAGCAGTGTTATCACCAGTAACAACCTCACAAACACAAGCACCGTTATCTCCATTTTACAGGTCAAAACCGAGCAAAAAATGCAATCTGTAAAAATCAATAAAGCACCGAGGCGGAAGAAATCAAACGTCCGCCAGCAGGAGAACAGTCCCACATGGAACACTATACAGCCATGACAACAAACAAATCACATCCACACAGAGAGGGGATGGATCTCACAAACCCAGGGCTGACTGGAAGATGCCAGGAGAGCTCCCAGTTCAGAGCAGGCAAACCTGAGCTAAGCTAACCAGGACGCACACGTGTGCGGTAAACCCACATAAAGCTGGGCCGTGAGAGCATAAAGGTGGTGAACAGGGTGGGGGTGGTTGGCACAAAGCATATGGGACAAAGGACGAGGGGCGCCAGCAACACAAAGCTTTGCAATTTGGATGGTGATCTTGTGGGTGTTCATTTACAATCACTTGTTGAACTCTGTATTTATGTACTAGCCTTTATGTTTTATAACCAATTTTTAAAAAGCCATCCCTCCTCCTGCCCCAACTTCCTTGGCTTCCTAATCCTGCACATCAAAGGAAGCCACATCTTATCCAAAATATACAACGAGTTCATACAACTCAATACCAAAATCCGAAATAAACCAAACCAAACAAACAAAAAGAAACCACCCTGTTAAAAAAGAGGGCAGAAGACCTGAACAGACATTTTCCCAAAGATGTACAGATGGCCAACAGACACATGAAAAGATGTTCGACGCTGCTAATCATCAGGGAAATTCAAATCAAAACCACCATAAGATATTACTTCACAGCTGCCAGAATGGCTATCGTCAAAAAGGCAACAAACAACAAAATGTTGGTGAAGGTGTGGAGAAGAGAGAACTCTTGTTGGTGGAAATGTAAACTGGTGCAGCCACTTTGGAAAACAGGATGGAAGTTCCCCACAAAATTAAAAACAGAACTACCACGTGACCCAGCAATTCCACTCACGACTATATATCCAAAGAAAACAAAAATACTAATTCCAAAAGATATATGCACATTTTCACAGCAGCACTATTTACAACAGCCAAAATATGGAAACAACCTAAGTGTCCATCAACAAATGAATCAATAAAGACAATGTGACACCTAAACACAAATAAAATGGAATATCACTCAGCCATAGAAGAATGAAATTTTGCCATTTGCAACAACATGAATGGACCTCAAGGCTATTATGCTTAGTGAAATGAATCAAAAGAAGACAAATACTGTATGTTTTGACTTACATGTGGAATCTAAAAAATAATAAATAAAACAAATGAATGTAACAAAACAGAGAGACTCACAGATACAGAGAACTAGTGGTTACCAGAGGGGAGTGGGGTTGAGGAGAGGCAAAGACAGGGGAAGGGGATTAAGAGGTATGAAATACTAGGTATAAAATAAGTAAGATACAAGGATAATGTACAGCACATGAATATAACTGATATTTTATAACTTTAAATAAAATATAGTCTATAAAAATACTTAACCACTATGTTTCACATCTGAGGCTAATGTAATATTGTAAATCAACCATACTTCAATTAGAAAAAAAAAATAGCCA